CTTTTTAGGGATGGGGAAGGGTGGGAATAAGGAAATACAAGGAAAGGTTGGGAAAAGGGAAAGGGCAACCGGCTCTCTCACTCATCGGACGAAACGCAGTCATTACTGACTACTTCACGCCGATCTTCTGTGAGAGGGTGGTACTTCCCCGGTCGAGCCAGCCCATGTTCGAGCTGTAGTAACTTAACCACAGCTAGGCTCTACCACCTTATAGTACACATCGTAAGTCCATTATCCTGCCACGGAACCATATATTCTTCAAACGCTCGAGTTGATCTGTCGTATGAGCCAGATAACAGCTGTACCTGTAGAGTGTGATTATCTTCACTTATTATAATATGGTCAGCTATTCACCAACACTCCGCTTGTATTCACAAATTAAACCATTAAAACCCACTGTTTGCGATTATATTTGTCTGATATTTATTTTATTGTTATTTGATCGTACTGTGTGTTTGAAAATTTTTTACATTACAAATTCGTAAATAAATATTTTCGTACGAATCAACTTCACCATTGGGTTTGTCTGTTTTGAAGACCTCACCTCATGCTCCTTGTACTTTGTAACGTGATATGCGGCAGATACATGTTTTTTTTAAGACGTTAAAGATAATTTTAACAATATTAAATAATTCTTGTATTCGTTCTATTTTTAAAACTATTTTAAATAATCTTACTAATTAATAATTGATTTTGAGTTCTGACTGATGTGTCTACCTCTTTACTGTAAAAGAGTTTAAAACAGAGCTGGTAGACAAGTACACAAGAACACCAGTACAGGTATCGGAATCGAACAAAGCGTCGATAAGCGGATATCATGACCATTCAGCGATTATTGGTTATAGCGTCCGCCACGCGGCGTTTCACACGACCGGTTAACATGAGCGTTTGAGACGGACGGGTTGACGTGGATTGGAAAATATTGGTACCGACCTCATGTTAAAATAGTAACAATAAACTGTATGCATACTTTTAAATGTTATGTCTATAGGTGATATAACTTGGTCGGCTGTGTTGATATGAATGTAACACCTCTTTTTATTAATAAAAAGATTTTGTTAGTATAGTATATTTTTATTGTAAAATAATAACATAGAAGTATTAATAATCATGTCAAGTTATTTCTATAAGACGCTCTCGTTTCTTTTTTTCTCCACCGAGCCATCCGTCGTTACGATCTATCAACCAATCGAGTTATACATTAAATAGCTTTCAGACCAGTAATGGGTGCAAACAATCGTCCTCAATAAAGCGGGGCGGGGGGTGCGGGCTGTGTGAGGGGTGAGGTATTGAGGGGGGGGGGGTAGAGGATCTAATTTGGCGGTTCCTTCCTTCCTGCTGCTCGATCTAATCGTGAGTTTCCGACACTTTTTTCAATTAGATCTTTAATGTTACTTTTGATGCTTGACTTAAAGGAACAAATGTTTTTCAGTAATTTATTTGTATCTATATACAAAGTGTAACATAATTAACGCACACCCTGAAAGTAGTTTGTTCAGAATCGGAATCTGGATAGATTTTTATAGTTTTTTATGTAGGTTATTTTTTTCTCAAATTTAGATAGAACTAATTAAATTACAGTCATCCTACACAGAGTTATCTAAACACTTCATTGAAACGAAAATGGATCGTAAGTTAGAGTATTAAGATTTTTAAAATGAAATATTAAATAAGTAATAATCATTCAATTAAAGAAAACTGTTTCAAGGCTAAAATAGTATTTTACAAATAGCGACAGTCGGCACACATCAAATACCTATGCACGTGTCCATTGACCTCCTGGATCAGCTGATTTGACGCGACTCGACTTTTTATTTGTGGGGGCGAATTAAATCGTTAGCTTATAACACAGAGACAACAAGTGTCAAGGAACTAAGAAATAAGATAATAACCGCCTTTGTATAAGTGCAAATTAAACTGTAAGTTTGTTTATGATCTTTAAATTATTGTTAATATTTTGATTCACACCATTTAAACACGCCGACTTTGTCGTAGGTATTGTGGTGTCTAATCAAATCACGCGTTATCAGCTGTTTAATAATTCTTATTTACAAATATAATTTAACAAATCAGTAATTAATATTATTATAAAATATTGACTTCACATTAAAAAGAAAATTCAATGTCAACAATCTAAAGCTTGAAAAGTATGATGGAAAGAAAAATCATAAATCATATGTTATTTCGTGTACTTATTATTACCTATTAGTCCAGTCGTTATAGTAAGTCCAGTCGTTATAGTAAGTTCGCTTTTTTTGGAAATATCTCATTTCCTATGGCTTTTTTGCTATTTGTATTTATTATCAATATTGTAGAATATTAAATTCTCTACAAATTTTGTTTCAAAAAATTTTTTATACGACAACGCCGTGCGAGTGCAAATTAAACTGTAAGTTTGTTTATGATCTTTAAATTATTGTAAATATTTTGATACACACCATTTAAACAGGCCGACTCTGTTTAACTTTGTCGTAGGTATTGTGGTGTCTAATCAAATCACCCGTTATCAGCTGTTTAATAATTCTTATTTACAAATTTAATTTAACAAATCAGTAATTATAAAATATTGGCTTCACATTAAAAAGAAAATTCAATGTCAACAATTTAAAGCTTGAAAAGTGTAATGGAAAGAAAAATCATAATGTATGTAGTTATTTCGTGTACTTATTATTACCTACTGCTTATTATTGTCGGACGGCATATTATTATATTCGCATTGGGGTATTTGAGGGTGTGCGTTAATTACGTTACACGTTGTATATATTGTATACGCTCGTTATAAAACTCCTCCAAAATAGCTCTGATTCCTTACTGTAAAGTCACCAGATTGTTTTTATAAAGTAGAAAGAGAATTCATGCAATAATGAGCATACTACAACCAGAAATAAGTAAATGGAGCCCTCTGAAAAAAAAGCACTAAAACACTTTAAAATTAAAACAAACAAAAACAAAAATTAAAATAAATTACACTTTAATATATTAAGTATAATACACATCTCGTTAGCTTGTGATCACGGTTGCTGTAAAGTAACCGAAACGTCGAGAGTATGTGGTTTATAATCAAAAATAAAAATAGCATAATACATTCGTATAACATTACTTTAGTTTATAATCCAAGTTTTACAGAATGTAATTATTCAAAAAATATCTAGAAAACGCTGCAAATGAGAAATCCTAATGTGAAATAATCTTCTTAAGACATTGCAAATTTATAATAAAAATAGGAATACATATTAATATAGTTATTACGTATTATGAACAAACGGTTTCTGATTTTGTATTCATTTTATTCCACAGCTATCGACAGTGGTACTTACAATGTTAATACAAACAAAAGAAAAACTGTTTCTTTTAGTATTTGGAGCGTTACATATAACATGTCACCAGATCCTCTGTGAAACAGAAATTATAAAAAGTGTTAATGTACGTCATGTCAATGATCTATCTGTACTTAAACAACCAACTTCTTTTTTTCAGTCGCTTCAAATTTCCTAGCAGACCATTTCGCCAGCCATTCTTAAACAAATATACACACAAAAATGATTCAGAGTATATTTTTTTACATAGTAGGTACATTCAGAGTCGCTGGCCCATCTATACTATCTTCTATACAGGGTGACTGGTGAATTACTATCGATATTTGAGGACGTGATATTTGACGATCATATATGACAAAATAAAAATTAATATAACATAAATATTAATAAACTTCTAAGTAAAGTTAACCAAAAGTTGTGTAATTAATTACGCATCGTGTGAACACCCTACAGATTAGGTATACACTCACACTCACACATACGCGTGTCGCGACGTAGTGTTGTATCCGCACGCCGCCGCACGCCTCCACACTTGAACACTTGGAACGTATCCACACTTTATTTATTTATACGGAAATTTTGTCAAAAATTAAGTACCTATTTTTTTTACATAATTCGAATGAGAATCATGTACCGAGTATGCTCCTTAAATATTGATAGTAATTCACCAGTCACCCTGTATATATAAAAATGGATTGCTGTTCCTTAGTCTCGCTAAAACTCGAGAACGGCTGAACCGATTTAGCTAATTTTAGTCTTGAAATACTCCTGGAAGTCCAGGGAAGGTTTAAAAGGTGAGAAAAATTGAAATAATTGCCGGGAAAACCCTAAAAACAGCCCTTTTCTATTTCCGATACAAACATTTTTTTTGACATTAGATTTGACAACTAACTAATATGTCAATCATTCTGTTTGATTGAAACAGAAAAAACCTGATTATTTATGGCCTCTAAGACGGAATAGAGTTCGCCTGGTCAGCTATACCTACATATATTACTCTTGACCAAACTAACGCGGACGAAGTCGCGGGCAAAAACTAGTAATATTATAAAGCTGAAGAGTTTGTTTGTTTGAAAGCGCTAATCTCCGAAACTACTGGTTCGAATTGAATGATTCTTTTTGTGTTGGATAGTCCAGTTATCGAGGAAAGCTGTGGGCTATATAACATCACGCTACGACCAATAGGAGCAAAGATATAGTGGTAAATGTGTAAAAACGAGAGAAAATATTTCATCTTTGAAGCCTTCCGTTGCGTGCGCCGTGAAAACGGTTCAAGATACACAAAAAATATGTATTGAAGAATAATAGCTCTTTAAATGATCTAAAAAACAGTCCGCGACAGTATATGTCTATCTTTTAAGATTAACTCACAAAAACCGTTTTTATGGTACCTAATTTGGTCGAAATAATTTGTTCAAGTTGTATCAACATAATAATATTAATCTTTATTCAAATAAACAAATAAATATGTTTTTGGTTGAGAGTACTTCATTATGAATAAAAAAAACAGGTTTTATCCTGAAAATTCTACGGGAACTAGACAATTCCCAAAACCCCGCAAGAACGGGAACTATGTGGGAAGAACCAAAAATCTGCCGGAAGTCACTATTCCACGCGGACGAAGTTGCGGCAAAAATCTTATTATATGTAACGTGTATCTGGCAGGTTTCCTGAGCACCGGCGATGCTCTGTCTCCACTCTCCAGGTAACAACGGGTTCAAGGTCCAGGTGGTGGCGCTCCGCTGGGTCCGAACAAACATCGCCGCCTTCGGGGGCGACCCGACCAGCGTTACCATCGCTGGTTGTAGCGCCGGCTCTCTCAGTGTACTGCTTCATATGGTGTCGCCGACGTCTAAAGGTATATTAGAACATATATTTTTTATATTTACTCTCTCCCTATACGAAAGAACATATAAATTAATCTTTCTCCAGGTCTATTTCACCGTGCAGTATCAATGAGCGGGTCTCCGATCAGCAAGTCTCCTCTATCGAGCGATCTATATCATCTCGCCGTTAAACAAGCTCAGCTCCTCGACGGTCCGACTAACAACTCCAAAATTATTATTGACTGTTTGAAGACTAAACCCTGGAGAGAACTTGGAACTTCAGTTCTTGGTTTCTATGTGAATATATTATATTGGCGATGACGAAATACAATCTCATTTTAATTTCAGTTTTTCGTTTACTATTGATATCCTTTATACTTAATTAAAAATTTATTTTAATATTTCACTTCTAGGAATTTACTTTTGATCCAGTACGTATTTGTTATCCTGTCGTTGAAAAAGACTTCGGTCAAGAACGCTTGTTAGACATGCAGACGACGGATGATACCCGCGAAAACAAGTTCCACGCTGTCCCGTACATCGCGAGCCAGACAGCGGGAGAGTTCTTCTGGATGGCATTTAGTTTGTACTCGCGCTTTGAGATATTTGAATCCTGTGACGCACAGATGATTCTTCATTGTATTTGTTACAGCCGTTCTAAAAAATGAAACATTATATCGTATTTACTTCCGAGAGAAAACAAAACTTACGCAAAATACGCAGCGAGAAGACTTCGCACCCAGTATTTAAAAGATAAAGATTAATCCAATGATGAGGAGAGGCTCGAAACTTAGGTTTGTTATATGCAGATGCTATCGTAGGTTTTCCAGTGCACAGGTAATAATATATCAAAAATCACAATTAACTTTGAGTGTTTCTTATTTTAAATGAAAAAACTAATGTTGTAGAATGTTTAACCTGATGGTGCGTCACTCGCCGAAGCCTCTCTGGTACTACGAACCCCAGTCACTATGAGGAGCCGCTCACTAAGAAACCCATCGGTGAATACGGGTAAATATTAAAGTAAGGACATTATTTTATGAACAAAAGGTGAACTATTCAAAACTATTTAATAATATCTTTATATGTGACTAGTTTTGCCCGCGACTTCGTCCGCGTTAGTTTGGTCAAGAGTAATATATGTAGGTATAGCTGACCAGGCAAACTCTATTCCGTCTTAGAGGCCATAAATAATCAGGTTTTTCCTGTTTCAATCAAACAGAATGATTGACATATTAGTTAGTTGTCAAATCTAATGTCAAAAAAACGTTTGTATGGGAAATAGAAAAGGGCTGTTTTTAGGGGTTTCCCGGCAATTATTCCAATTTTTCTCACCTTTTAAACCTTCCCTGGACTTCCAGGAGTATTTCAAGACTAAAATTAGCCAAATCGGTTCAGCCGTTCTCGAGTTTTAGCGAGACTAAGGAACAGCAATCCATTTTTATATATATAGAAGATTAGATAAACTAAACAATTCAATTTAGTATTTGAAATTTATTTATAGATATTTTTGAATTAATTCGTTAAGAAAATAAACTCTCATTTCCATAACCATAGTTATTATTATATGTCTTTAAATATTATTGTTCTGACATTAATTTACTTTTCCTACATTACAAATATATTCTTAAAGGGACATTTCAAAATTATTAAGATTTTTATATCATCTTGCCGTAATCACGGTTTCTACAAAGTAATCGAAACGTCGGGAGTATGCTGTTAAAAATAATCATAAAAGCGTAGTAAATCCGAAAAATATTAGTTTTATTTCAATGAATATTCACGAAAGTCTAAGATGTCATTACATTTTTAAAAAATAGTTTTGCAACCTTTGCTAATGTTATAATTATCCTACAAAACAGAAAACCTTAGATCAAAAGTTATATTTGTTTTTTTTTCATATTTTTTCATATACATATAGCAATAAGCTGAAGTCGTTTACTAAAGTTTTAACGACAATTAGTTATCATGTCATCCAACATTAAAGTTCAATATAAATAAATGTTCAAGTGTATAATACTGTTTGTGTGACGTCACCAGTGACCTCAACCCTCGCGGAGACTCCAACCACTCCTCAGACCTGCACTGGCCACCAGCCAGCCCCGGACGACGCACATACTTACGAATAGACCACCAACTGTCCCTTCACGAGAATTTAAAAGAAGATCGAATGAATATCTGGGAGGAACTGTACCCCTTGGAGTACTGACACCTTCATGACATATTATGTATTACAATAAATATTAACAACATGAGACGGTTGAGTATGGAATTATTAAAAATATGAAAGTCTTACTCGAGATGCACACGATGGCTGTTGGAATTGTTACGATCTGTATTTCTAGCATTCAGTAGTGTATTGGAATGTTAATGAAATTAATGTTTTACATTTTAATAATAATTATAAAAGTACGTTAATATAAAAAAAGGTATTTTTATAAGCCAATTCCGATACTTGTTTATTTTCTAAAACAATACTTTTGATTGCATGTCGTCGGTCTCCGCTTTCAACACGCTCATAACATAACAGAACAGAGGTCTTTAAATTTGTTAGTTTCATTTTGATGTATTTTTGTTACGAGGGGTTGTCATAGAAAACACGTTTTACATTATTAAAACAATGTTTTGCAAAATTCTTCAATGAACACTTTTAAAACATGTGATACAAAAATTATACAAATCCCAGGATATTGTGTTCATTCGAAAAAATGCTACTTAACTATGTAGTTGCTTGGCTACTTAGCTTGAGTGTCGGCGTGAAGACCATACATATTATTATATTAATATACTTAAAGTCTAATATTCTTTATACAAAATGAGAGAACGTAGTTTTTTGTATAAAATTTATATTCAATTATAGTAATGATGAAATTGTCTGAGAGACTAGTGCTAGCTCCTTTGTTTTCTTTCAAGTTGTGTTTGTATGTCTCGCACATCCAGGCCCTTCGTCTCAGAAAGATATATGGACGTAAATATGGCAGTCAATTAACTGATCAGCGCAAATATATAAAACACGGGACCCATTCCGACCGCGGCCAGGAGAGGGTTCAAGATGACTAATACCAAAAAATTGAAAATCCATCCGGACTCGGTGATCGACATCGACATTACGCCGCGCACCTGAAACATACAGTAATATGTATACCTAGAGATGAATAAACCAATATTCTTAAAGAACCATCTGTATGGAAAGACTAATAAAACAGACCTCTGGAAGAAACATCTCAGCAACAACGACGAAAGGCACGACGTTCGCTCCCGAGGTGACGGTCGCGCAGTAGAGGAAGATGAGTGCTGCGGCGAGCCAGGAGGGAGCCCAGAGGAGTTGGAGATGAGAACCGAGCAGGATACAGAACACACACGGGAACAACGACGAATAGATGATGACGGGCTGCAAGGATATAAGGAAAGATACATTGTAGAAGAGTGACACGAACATGGGGATCATGTAGCATCCTTTAAAAACTGAAGCATATTCTTTAGTTTGATCATATATACAATTTGATAGGAATTAATTGTAATAATTAAAATAATATTAATTTTATTATATTGGATGTCTGCCTGATAATTCAGAGAAACAAACAACAAGACTGATTTTTATCAATAATATCAATTATAAATTTTTTTGTATAAGTAATTTGGTACCATAATGGTTGTCTTCATATGTATATACTTGTATCTTTTTCATAAAATATAAAATCTCACGTACCGAGATAACATTCTCAACTAAATTATTTAATGTGGAAACAACAAGTTCTGTAAGGTGGGAGACAATAAGAAAACTATCGATTTAGTCACTCACTCGTCTGCCGAAAACATCGATCAGGCAGGTTGCGACCACAGCTGAGAGAACAGTAACGAGACCGAAAGCAATAGTGGTGCAAGTAGCTGAGGTACTAGGTAAGGGGTTGTCCATTAATCACGTGATCTTTTTTTAGCATTTTTTTAACCCCCCCGCCCCCATTGGTGTTACGCAGTGAGGTTTAAGACCACCCCCCTCCCCCTTCTCAACATCACGTGTATTTTTAGAACCTACAACGAATCTTACAATTTCCTGAATATTATCTTAATTTAAATACAGGTATAAACTATAATCTTATTTTATTCTGAAATTAAGGACCATAATAAAAATGTCTACACCATGTTGCAAGTTCTTTTTTAATTTTTTTTTTCAATGTTTTTTTTTAAAAAGTTTGTTTAAAAATCGCGCTTTAGACGAAAAAATAAATACACGAGATATCTTACTACACCCCCCCTCCCCCTTGTGTTATTTTCGTGATTTTTATCAAACCCCTCCCCCCCCTTTCAAGCCTCACGTGATTAATGGACAGCCCCTAACGTGTCCTGGAGTAAAACCTGGGCGTACACTTGTACTACGACGAGTCCTTGAAATACTGCGAGGTTCCACGGACCGTGGGTTTATGTTTACCTGAAATTAATAAATAAAGTTGATAATATTATCTGACTGCGGAATAACATCTATTTGTATATTTTTGTATTGTTACTGTTAATAAAACTTACGAATGAATTGCCACTTTGTGAGCTTTTTTGCACTCTCGGCTTTCAACGCCTCTCCTTCGGGTTGTGTGTCTGTAAAGTAATAATAACAAAATCACATACGGTAAGCATTCAAAGATCAGTCTAGTTTGTAATAACTTTTGCCTATCTAGATATGGTTGAGAATTTTTGATATAACATACAGGCGAAAGCTTGAAGAGGTTTCAAAATACAGTGGCAAGAGGCGTGATGTTAATACAACGGGGCATCATAATATTCTGGTCACTTCGGTGAAATTTACAGAAACACAAATATCTTATACCTACTAGAACAGATGCAGGCCCTTCACCGGTAATGACGCAGTCATCTTCTTTGTTTGAACACACGTAAATGAATTACTGACGATAGTTCTTTCAAAAAGACTTAACATGAGATTGTGCGCTCAGAATTAATGTCTAAAAATCACATCCTAATTATACTTGTTAATTTAATAACTCCTGTCAAGATTCAATAGCAACATCATTGTGCACCGTGATTGCTCATATTATTAATCTTTCTGTATTATTTTATGTCTACCGACGCAGTTTCTTTTTTGTTATTCACTCTCTTAAGATTACGCCCTTCAAGTGAATATACTGACCTCAAGCTTAACTCCGTTTTTTATTTAAATACACCTGAATTCATGGACAATTAATGAATGTTAGTTATGAAAAAAAATGGGTGAAAAATTTCACAGAATTTCCCACAGGTGCTGAACAAGAAAGCAAATTGTAGATGACGGATGTAGATGATAATTTGTTATGTGAAAATGAGTTCAGACGACAGATGTATTCGTTGGTGCTGCAGAACAACTACGTTGTTACTTGAATTGAAATTGATTTAAACTTATCGAGAAAGCAAAATTGAAGCTACTATGCTAAAATTTGATAATAACTCTTAATAAATATTTTTCAGTGACAATGATAAAAAGTTGAATAAAATTTATTCAAAATCAACATCAAGAATTAGGTGAAAATAATTACAAGAATGCTTTTTTTTTCCTAACCTAAAAAAAACACAAACACGTATGCATGCATACATGAATACGCCCAAGAAAACTTTTTTTATATAAAATAAAAATACAAGTCCTACTCTCACATGTAAATAAAAACGTTGACAATAATTTCAAGAAATTCTTTTTATTTCCTTCCGGCTACATACCTATTAAGAAATTTCACCAAATTATCCTGACACGAACACCGACAACAGGACGAGCTCCGACGAGCGACGAGCGATCGACAGGACTCAGGAGCGACCACCTGAGGAATAATTAAATAAATACGAGTCGAGAGGTTACTATTGAAAAAACAAAACACTCAATTACATTTTTCTATTTAACCTCGTTGTATATATTTTAGTTGAAATATTTATCAAACTTGGGCAACCTTTTACACACACGTCTATTTAATTTTATCATTAATTTTTAAGTATTCGACTTAAACTAAACGAATTAAAAAAATGATATAGAAAAATATTAATGAAAAATTTCATGCTTTTGTAAAAATAAATGCATCGTTTTGCAGGTATTTATTTATTTGTAAGATATTATAATGTGAAAATATTTTAATAAATTATTATCTCAACGAATCATGAATATTGATCAAAAGTTTTAAGAAACTTCCAATATCAAAATTGTAGCACAGCCCTCTTAGACATAACGCTAATTCCAGCTTATTTCTGATATTATCGCCACAGGCTGTAATATACTCTCATCTATACTAATTGAAAGTTATTATATAACTTTATTTAGATGCAAGCTATAATTACCACTAGAGCCAGAGAAAATAAAATACAGCAATATTTCCTTCCCAGTAGATCCAACAAGACTCCAGTGAGAGGAGTTCGTATGACAGCTGCGATGCTTAATAAACTTCCAAGAAGTGTTATTTCCATTTCGGTCATGGGTCTGTCCAGAGTGGTGTTGACAGAAGAGAACAAGCTTATTGTGGACGAGGGCCAGGCGAGTATGAGGCCGAGGTTCAAACAGAGGCAGCCCACTGGAAAGTTTCAATGGATTACTCAATTTATTTAAAGGCTAGCAGCCGGCCCGGTTCCGTACGGGTTTCTAACTGAAATATCAAAATAAAAAATCATAATAAGTATACAAACATGAACAAAACTTATAACCTATACCTAAAAATACATGATTGCCCCGATGTTAGGATGACAATAACATTCTATTGCTTGTATGGTGTAAGGAATCTTCTTGTTCACACGACTTGGTGTTGGCTCCGCGGAGTCAGCGGCGTCACTTGTTATATGTTCTTTTACCAATACAAATATGTCGCCCGGGCGATGTTCATTTTTTTTTCTTCATATGTAGCGCGTACGTAACAAAAGGGTAAACATCCCCTAATTTATAATTATTGTTGTGGTGGTCAAGCTTAGCTTTCCTCTTCTTCTTCGCCCATCAAGGGTGGCAATGCATCCGCTGGATACTTTTGCAATGTCCATGGGCGACGGTATTACCTTCAGGTAGTCCGTCTGATCGTTTGCTTATTTGTCAAAAAAAACTAACATAAAATTTAATTAATCTTTAAACTAAAATAAAATTGAAAGAAAAAACAAATAAAGAAAATTAATAACATAAAGTTAAAAACAAAAAAGAGTATTAAGATTTATTATATTCTGTGGCACGACGATCAATGGAACTCAAGTCAAGACTCAACTGGAACATTTCATTCAGTATTCCAGAAACGTCAATGTCAATGTTACATGTTGTATTTGCGTAGCATCAATTTTCAAAACAAGGCGCGTGCCTCACGCGGTGTATGGTGTCCTGTCATTAGTCAAGCTGCCGTTCGTCAATTCAGCTGAGATTGCGTAATTAATTAGATTATTTAATGATGTCAGGAGGAGGCGAGGGCCGAGCGCCGGCCATGTGACCGACAACTACGCCGCGGCCTTCGTCGACCTGCTCTAGTATAATCCGGTTAGCGCACCGCGTTACAGGCGGGAGCAGCGCGCGAGGAGCCGTACGTGCTCAGTGTGTGGTGTGTGCAGGTCTCGGAGCCGTGTCGAGCTCGAGCCGGACCATGAAGACGCACGAAGACTATAGAAACGGAGACGGCAAGTATACAACAGACACACACACGCACACACACACGCACACATCATATACTTACTGTAATACTCGACATGAAGTCGCCGGTCTCCATTATATATCAGTCCCTATGATTATGGTGGACAGTGGTGGTTCTATTGAAGGTCTTATTATGTTTATGATTATTATTGATGTGTTCAAGGTGATACCACTTCAATATAAACAATCCAATTTAAACATCTCAGTGCCTGTTACCGCTTGACACCGCTGCATCAAAAAATTACTTTGTAATGTCTGTAGTATGATATCATATCATAGTATGAAAATACAAATCAAATACATTTCTAAAGTATATTTACAAATATTGTATGACTGTGTGTTAGTATTGTATTATTTCATTATATATCTATGTTTATAGTGTGAGTGTTTATGAACAGGTAAAAGGTTGATTTCTACACATTGTAGCGTTTGATGAGGAAAAAATACTGCAAGTAATATTTAAATAAAAAGTAATCTTTATAACTCCTAGCTGGTCTTAACAACTGTAATTGATATAAATTTAAATTACCTATCTCATTTACTGTTGTCATACTTCACTGAACATTACTATTTATAGGTTTATAAAACATTCATTTCTTATATCTCATTTAAGTCAAGGCTGTACTGCATTTAAATAAAATATATATATATATATATATATATATATATGTACTTGTAATATTTTAAAATAAAAAAAAAACTAATTTTGGTAACTTTTCAAGTAGATCATCATCTGTTAGTAGTCTATTTATTGTTCATATAACCACCCTCCGTGAATTCTGTTTTCTTCACTAATTGAATTCTAAACATGATCTGTTTCATTCCGTTGAATCAATAACATATGTCAGTTTGTGTAATGTGTCTGTAGTCCATTGTTTCACTCGCCATTCAACTTCATAAAACCGTACAACACATTATATTTAAATTGTACATTGACACCTCATGGAGCATGTTTAAGACTCATCTAACATCAGGTTCATGAGTGTCCGAGACTGTCCGTGTGTCCAGTGAGTGTGAGGTCAGTGTCGCTCCTACTGATCATAATTGAACCAATTCATTATATGCCGGAGTCATTGGTCGTTTGATAACTCTCGTCTCCTCGTACCGCGGCGGGGGGGGGGGGGGGGGGGGGGGGAAGCTTCACACTAATTGTACGTCTCTAAGTAATGCTAGTGACGCGCACCGACTGCTAGGGACTTCACGTTATTTATTTATAAATAAACATAACGCCTTTCTGTTATAGTTTCCGTGAGTGTGCGCTACCTCACGATTCCATCTACCGACACTCGCTTATGTTATTTCTTCTTAATGTACTCGTTCTTTAGCGCGGATCTCCGATTACTTCTTCGGTAAATTTATTTATCAGTGCCGCGTAACAGAACGCGACGCGACGTAATATATCAATAGTTGATAAACAGCATTCGCTCCGATAATCATTTATAGCTAGTTAACGTTTATCAATCGAAGATTATATTTTTTTGTCAAATATTATTAATAGTATTTCGATACCGGTGTCGCTCGATATAACGGAGCTGCTTGTTCAATAAAAGTCTCGGTGTCATCTCCGTGCGGTGACCGGGCGTCATGACGCAGCTTCTCAAGTAGAAGATTAAATGTAAACAATAACGAATAATAGGAATAGAGTTGTACGAAAGAGACGCGCTGAGATAGTTGAATGTTAGCGATGTATAGAACGAGCAGCGGAGCAGGTAACAGACTGAGAGGCGTGTGACGACATGCGGCGCGAGGGTGCTGGACTCATGACATGAACTTTACTTATCAGGAGGAGCCAACTCGGCCGCCTCGCGCTCCGACGACAGCGAGGGGGAGGAGACCAGCGCGCTCGAACAGGAGCTGTCTCTGGAGGACCGGGACGCGCCCGCGCGGGTGCTGCACGCCCTCAACGCGCTCCGCAAGGCGCGGCAGCACTACGACGTGCTGCTGACGGCCGCCGGCGAGGAGGTGGCGGCGCACCGGGCCGTGCTGGCCGCCTGCTCCCCGCGCCTGCTCACGCTGCTGGAGCCCGCCGCGCCCGCCGGCGCCGTGCGCGTGCCCGGCGTGGAGCCGGACGCGCTGCGCGAGCTGGTGGAGTACGCCTACACCGGCCGCCTGCGGGTCAAGGACGCGGGCTCCGCGCGCCGCCTGTACCGCGCCGCCGCCGCGCTGCGCGTCGAGCCCGCGCGCTCACACCTCGCCGACCGCCTGCTGAGGAGACTCACCCCGCACGACTGTCTGTCGCTGAGAGCGCTGCCCGACCTGGCCGACCACCACCGCGCTCTGCTCGACGCCTTCATAGAGAAGAATGTGAGTACTCACCAACAACGAGGGGCGCTGGACATATTGAACATGGCTTTTAGATTCGCTCCATGATTAATACTCTTTTGCCAACCACGTCCGTCGAAATTATAGTGTCATGTGATCCTTTTCATTCCAGTTTGACGAAATATGTGAAAGTGGTGCTCTGGCCGCGCTGCCGCTCATAAAGATCGAGCTGCTCCGGGAGACGAGCGCGGAGGGCGGGGAGGAGGCGCCGGCCGCGGTCGCTGACGCCGCGCTCACCTGGCTCAGGGACCACACGCCCGTGCACGTGGACGTGAGTGACTCCACACTAATAACAATAAGGAACTTTCAACAACACGGATGCCACCCCTCTCAGTGAAAATAAATCTACAGGGTGACTGGTGAATTACTATCAATATTTAAGGAGAATACTCGGTACATGATTCTCATTCGAATTGTGTAAAAAAAATAGGTACTTAATTTTTTTCCGTATAAATAAATAAAGTGTGGACACGTTCCAAGTGTTCCAAGTGTGGACGCGTGCGGCGGCGTGCTGATACAACACTACGCCGCCGCACGCGTATGTGTGTGTGTGTGTGTGTGTGTGTGTGTGTATACCTAATCTGTAGGGTGTTCACATGATGCGTAATTAATTACATAACTTTTGGTTAACTTTACTTAGAAGTTTATTAATATTTATGTTATATTAATTTTTATTTTGTCATATATGATCGTCAAATATCACGTCTTCAAGTATCAATCAATTCACCAGTCACCCTGTATATGTGTATATGTATGTATATATAGGTATGATATGTATTTTGTTATCGTAATATTAATTACTATAATATATTTATATTATTCCATTTTATTTACTTGTTTTTATATCTTTTTCTTTCTATATTTAAGATTTAATACTTTTGAGCCATTTGTATCTTATATTATTTTCATCTTATTTCTATATTTCCATCTTTATAAAGAACACGCCATCTACCGTAGGTAAAACTTGTTATAGTTAATCGTAAATAAGGCATCCACGACACAACCTCATACAACCTCATACACAACAAAATATTGTTATGTTTGTAATTGTGTTCCCTGTTAACGTTGAGTTATTGCTGGTAATAAAGTATTTTTCATTTTTCACACCATATGTGTCCTCCCCTGGAACCGACTGACGACTGTTTCGTTAGGTCCGTATCAACATGTCCTCCGCTTGATAACACGCTTCAAGGCGAGACGCGAATAAGACGCTACAAGTTACAAGTTATAACATTAACGTTCTTTGTATTCTTTCCGTGGCGGCTTCCTGTTCTGATGCAATCGTTCCGTATCTCGCTAGTGACCGGTATAGTGTCCAAATATCCAAAAGCCTCTTAGCTCGCTAACGTGCCGTTGATAATTATAATCCGATTTCATAAACGTCCATAATTTGCAAAATTATGAAATGTTTATTGCACGGAGACATCATGTTGCAGCTACAAGGCAATTGATCCGGGTTCTGTCAGTAACATTAAGGGCACATGTTGTACAGTGTTCACGGAGCCGCTCACTATAACTGACACGTCTCTGTATCATCGTTCAACAGCTCGGCCTTCATTGTTTCTGTGCAAAACTTCCTCATATCCGGAGGAAGCGGTACGGTTTCTCTTTCCTCATGTGCACAGTAAAGGATTTTAACATTCTATTGATTTCTATTTAAAATATGGAGATTATCACGGAAATAGAGAGGGGGGGGTTACTGAAATAGAGTGTCCACCATCGGCGGGAGTGGTCTCGATCATGGTTCGATTCTGATTCAAAAATAACTTTTACCAATGTTCACACCAACTGCCTGCCTCACATTCGTCGGGTCTCTTTTCAGCTGGAGGAGCTCTGTTCCCGCACACACCTGCTGTTCGTGGACGTGAAGGGGGAGTTGAGAGACTGTGGGGAACTGCCGGCGGCCAGGGGAGACGCGCCCGAGCTGGAGGAGTACAGGAGGGAGGCGCGCGAGAGGGAGAGGGGGCCGGGCGGCGGGGGCAGGGGGGAGGACGAGCCCGCGGGGGAGTGTACCGTCATAGCGGCGAGGGCCGGGGGCGCGGGCGCGGGGGCCGGCGTGACGCGCGCTGTGGTGGCTCTCCGCGGACGACTGGCGGCCGCGAGGGTCGCCTGGAGGACGGGGGGCGCGGAGGGTCCGCGGGGGGGCCGGCTGGGGGGGGCGAGGGACCCGGAGGGAGCGGACCCGGCGGCCGGAGACACGAGCGTGCACATGTCCGTGGGGAGGTGCGCGCTGGGCGCGGCGGCGCTGAGGGGGCGGCTGGTGGTGTGCGGAGGGTACGACAGTGCGCGGGTGCTGCGGACGGCGGAGGCCTACGACCCGGTGTCCAACACGTGGGCGGCGCTCCCCGACATGAAGAGGGCACGCGCTCGGTTCCCGGCCGCCCGCCTCGGGGACGCGCTCTATGTGTTCGGTGGCTCGGACGGACAGACGGAGCTGGACTCTGTGGACGTGTATGAGGTGAGGAGACACAACACACACACAACACACACACACAACACACACACACAACACACACACACACACACACAACACGGAAAGTTTTATTGATTCTCTAAACGCTTTTACACTTTAAATTCACAAAAAAACACAATCATAACTGGAGATATTAATATTAATCTGATACCGAAACCTACTGAACAGTCGTACGAACGTCACAATAGGATAAATTATCAAGATGCGCTATCAGCCCATGGTATTTCAGCAGGTCACGTCATGCCTACAAGAAATGAAAGTTGCCTTGACCGTCTTATGTTAAAAATAAGGAGGGCTAAATGCTCTTCTTTTGTAGCTGTCTTACAGACGTCTGTTACGGATCATTACACAGTCTTACTATGTATCTACAAAAATAAAACCAGGCATGACGCACAAAAAACAAAAACTATTATTGACTTTGAAGGAGCTCTAAAATATCTACAAGAAAAACATCTAGAACAATTACTATTAATTAATGATCCAAACAAAATTACTGATTATCTTTTACAACAACTAATGGATTCACTTAACTAAAAACAACCGCATTATGAAACCCTGGATTACAGAAGGAATACTTAGATGCATCAGGGCTCGAAATAAACTTCAAAAACAATTGCGTAACGACCCTTGTAATGAAATTAAAAAAATCTCATACACACGATACAGAAATCACTGTAACAATCTTATAAAGAAATTAAATAGAAAATATTAACGACAATTACTCATGGGATCTTTAAAGAACAATAAATTACTCTGGCACAATATAAAAACAATAACATATTCCACTAAATGAAGACGACCCAACTTCAAACTTAAATACCTAAAGCCTTCCCTACTTGAATCTGCTAACTATATAAATAAATAAAGATTTCTCAAATATTGGTAAACGTCTTGTAAAATTGAACCAACTGTAACTCAAAATGACTTGAATCACTACCTACAGAGTCTACCTAGTCAATCTCAATCTCTCGTTTTATTGAATACTGACCATAAAGAAGTAGATACCATAATTAAAAATCTGAAATTAAATAGTGCTCCCGGTTGGGATAACATTTCATCAAGTTATTTTAAATATGTAAAAAACGAAATTATCTCAGTTATTACTTACCTGGTCAATTTATGCTTCAAAACGGGAATATTTTCAAATTCATTAAAAAAGTCTATAATTACTCCCGTGTACAAGAGCGGGGATCACAACCCAAAACAAATTTTCGTATAAAAATTGGGATAACCAACCACCAAATTGGGATTACCACCATTGGGGACTTGTCATGATACCCGCAAGTTGAACATGTTGCGGCACGCATTAGGAAGTTCACGTGGATGTTCAAGTCACTGAGACATATTGTAACTAATAACACTGTAAATGACTCCTCAAACAATCTTTGAAATCAAATTTATATAACTTTGGTGCAATCATAATAACATACTGCTTACCTATTTGGGGAGGTGCACGTAAAACACGTTTCATGGAAATTGAACGAGCTCAAAGAGCATTGATTAAAGTAATGTTCTTTAAAAAACAACGGTTCAGTACAGAAAGACTCTATGAAGAAAGTGGTTTGTTAACCGTACGGAAACTATATTGTGCATACTGTTCTAAGAAAACACAAGTCTTTAAGCTACGATATATCGTTAATCAATAAACGTATAGCATATAATGTTATACATATCTATCCCTGCTACTAAAACAGTCTTCGCTAGGATTCAGTATGACAATAGATCTGCTTATTTATATAATAAAATAAATAAATACGTTGATATACAGGGTGACTGGTGAATTACTATCGATACTTGAGGACGTATATTTGACGATCATATATGACAAAATAAAAATTAATATAACATAAATATTAATAAACTTCTAAGTAAAGTTAACCAAAAGTTATGTAATTAATTACGCATCGTGTGAACACCCTACAGATTAGGTATACACACACACACACACACACACGTTGGGGGGGCGTGGTGTTGTATCAGCACGCCGCCGTACGCGTCCACACTTGGAACACTTCGAACGTGTCCACACTTTATTTATTTATACGGAAATTTGGTAAAAAATTAAGTAACTATTTTTTTTACATAATTCGAATGAGAATCATGTACCGAGTATTCTCCTTAAATATTGATAGTAATTCACCAGTCACCCTTTATATTCAAAAACTTGTAAAGAGTGTAAAATTAATATAATAAAATCTTTAAGTTTTCAAGAAACGGATTTTTTTTAGAATATAGGAACTAGCATTCATATCCTACACACACCAACATACACATACAAAACATACACACACACACATACACAAATGCGCACGCGCACACATGCATACACATACATTTCAATCCCACATTTACTTCCTTTTTGATAATTCTCTTATTATTATTATTATTTTATGTTGTTTCTTTATTATTGTTGTACCTTAATTATCTCGTATACTTGTACCTAATTCGTGATATAGAAGAGCGGATTTTCCTGGCAAAGGCTTTTCATATGCGTAAAAGGAGACTCCAATAGCATTATATTTGAGTACAAATTTGTTAAAGAAAATAATGATTTTTTATTTACTTATTTATTTGTTATAAGTCAAGTTGTGTGTGTGTCGTTTCCAGGAGCGGTCGGAGGCTCCGTGTGGCGCGTGGCGGGCCGGCGTCCGACTGCCGCTGGCCCGGTCGCACGCGGCGGCGGCGGCGGACGAGGCGCGCGGCCAGCTGTGGCTGGCGGGGGGCTGGGCCGGCGGCCGGGCGCTGCGCTCCGTGCTGCGGCTGGCGGCCGGCGACTCCTGCTGGGCCGAGGGTCCGCCGCTCCGCTGCGGCCGCTCTCAGTGCGCCGGCGTGGTGTGGGACGACCAGCTGTGGGTGTTCGGAGGATGCGACTCCTGGAACTGCGTGGCGTCCACCGAGCGACTCCCGCTGGGAGAGGACGCGGTCTCCTGGCTGGAGGGCCCGGCCCTACCCACGGCGCGCCGCTCGATGGGGGCGGCCGTGTGGCGAGGCCGGGCCGTGGCGGCGGGCGGCAGCGCGGGCTCGGCCTCTCTCCGGGACACGGCGTTCCTGGAGGGCGGGGCGGGTCAGGCTCGCTGGCGGGCGGGTCCGTCCCTCCGCCGTCCCCGCGCGGCGCCCGCCCTGGCTGCCCTGGGTCCGTCGCTGGTGGCGGCGGGCGGGTTCTCCGGGAAGCACTTCCTGGCGTGTGTGGAGGTGCTGCACGAGCCGGACGGGGAGTGGACCATGCTGCGTGACCCGCGCGCCCCGCCCGCGCCGCTCACACCACACGTAAGTGTCAGCCGAGGGTGGGTCGGGTGTTCTGTTCTCGACTGAATGTTTCTCATCACAACACGTTTCGTTTCCAGAAGGCGGAAGAGAACGGCGTGTCGTGTGTGGAGTGAGCCCGCCGCCTCTCCTCGCGGTCCTGGTCTTCTTGTATTTCCTGAGTATTATATTTATGTTTAAGGAGCGACAGGAGCAGGCTGATCGTTTATCGCACTACCTCAAAATTCTTCGCATCGCGATTTATTGCCTTTGTATGTGTCGTAAGATATATATATATATAGTAGTGAGCGAGGCGCGCCGCGGCATTTTATATATATTTATATGATATCGCCTGTACATTCCGTCGCCGCGGCTTGTCCTCGTGTTCGTTGTTCGTCATCCTCTCCTTGAGGTCTTCTGATGGAGGTGTTTCCTCTCTCTCAATCATTCCGAGTTTTATAAAATATTTTTTATCGGTTGTCTCGAAAGAAATTTTATATTTTATGGACCTATTAAAAAAGCAGACCTTTTGTGTCCTTTTCTTAATAAAGTGAGTAATGCTCCTTGAGATATAGAGCTCGTTGAGGGCGGATAGTATCGTTCTAAGCCAGTATTTTAGCTTCATCGGGAATTTTTCGCCAGTCCAGAGAAAGAGTTCGTAGAGATTAGGTACAGACTACCTCGTAGAGAATGTAACGAGTCTACTGAACATAGTTGTCTCGATCCTGAACTTGTTTCTGTCGTCAACCTTTAGGTTCGTGTCACTGAATCTGGTTCCATTCTGTTTATGAACGTGTCGTCGTCGATAACTTTAACACTACAGGAGCGTCTCATCTCCGTGTGAGCTCCACCGCTTGTATTATCTCTGGTCCTCACTCTCGTTGTCCCGAGGGTTCCTATGAGCCAGGTCTGCGAGTGTTCGCGAGCCTCGTGTTGTCTTCATAGATCAATAATTATAAAGTTTTTTTCGAGGCTCCCCGTCAGTAAAATACCAATCGTTTCCCTGTCGGTGTTGTTTAAGACCCAGTTTCACCAATCAATGTTAAATAAGTAACATCGTGTTAATGCGTTTGATGCTCTGTTAGATGTATCGAGCGTCCCACCACGCACAAGTGTTTATTTAAATGTCTTAACCAGTAACTAATATTAATTCCTGCTCTGGAGCTCCGTCTAATGGCTAAAAGAATGTTAATGACATTGTCGAAACTCAATTGTCCAATCACAGCCCTGATTTCTGGTAACCATAGTAACGTCATCTGTTTTGCCAGTTTCGAGACAGAGAATTAAAATATCATTTATTATGATGATTTTGCCTCCAGCTTTTCTATGACATTGCAAATTAAGTTTTCTTTTTATTTCGTATAATTTGAACACAATTTATGTCTATATTTATAACACAATAATATATAACACAATTTATTGACAACACGATTTTGACAAGTTACACCTAGTAAATTGAAAAGAAAGCTTTTTGTGTTCTAAATGTATGCAACCAAAGATATATAAAATTTGGTCGCAATTAGCTTACAAGTGACGCACATAGGGGTATTTAGTTAATCTAGCTGGCCAAAAACATTTGTTTAGTTTTTTGAGTTGCTAATGACGGAAATAAAACAAGCGTAATTAAAACGGTTATAAATAATGTTTATTTTTTTATAATTTCCATAAATAGAGAAAAAAACAAAAACCACAATTAAAAAATGTGATTCACATGTCTACATTGATATTATATAATGATGATTAGGGGTCATCCATAAAGTATGTCACACGTAACGGGGGGAGGGGGGGTCGACAAAGTGTGACATAGTTATATATACTACATTTCCAAATCTATTATATCTAGAGGTAGTTAGCTTGTTGTTAGCACGCGATGCTGGTATAGCCTCAAATGAAGCAATAACAAAAAAATCTCAACTTTGAAGAAAAGTATTGAGCAGGAAAAAATATATTAAAGCGAAAGATTAGCGCAGCGGAAAGACAGAAAAAAAGTCATTTAAATGGAAATAAAACTAAATTCGGAACTGCAGTTTTAATTTAATAATTTTTCGATGTGAAATTGCAAAACATGTGATGTCACACTAGGGAGGAGGGGGGTCTCAGAAATGTGACCACCTGTGACAAGGAAGGGAAGGGGGGGTCAAAAAATTATTAAATTCGTGTGACGTACTTTATGGATGGCCCCTTATGACACATATGATTCCATTAATTTTACTTCATAGCTACAAGTATTTATAGATAGTGTGGCATGTCTAGAAATATTTATTATTATTAATTAAATTAATGAATAATCAGTTTATCTCATCCTCACTTTCTGATTTAAGTGCGTGCGCGTCTTCTGGATTTGGTGTTGCAGATACAAGCATATTCAATGTTTCAGGAAGAAAAGAAGACTTCTTATTTTTCTTTATTACCCTTGAGGCACTAAAAAAGGGATCTGAGCTTAAAAGTAGCCTATTCAAAATGTCTCTATTACAGGACTCTCTAGAGAATTTTCGTGAGTAATCCTGTCTGTATGACCTAAAATGCTTGTTGCGTGCCTCTGCTGCTTCTTCAGATAGTTGCCCTATGGGTAACAATGCATTTTTTATTATATCCGATCCGTGCACAAGTACTTTGTGCAGTGTGGGTGTCATTGGGTGCCACGGGTAAAGTTTTACGTACAAGAAAGCAGTTTCTTCTGCATATTTTTCATATTTTTCTAAATTTATTTCGTATCCGCTCGAAATCGTTTCCAAAATCACTTTTAATCTATATATAAACTCGTAATCTATTCCTGTAATATCTGAGGATAGTTTCGGATCTTCAAAAAATCTCCTGCTGGTGTTGCCGTCATTAGTGTTTCCGAAGTTTGCTTTCGGCATGTCAACTAATAAGCCAGTTTCATTGCGGAACCTGGTCTGTATTTCGATTTTCTTATTCATCTCAATTTGTTTTTCCTCCTCTGATTTTCTCTGCCGGTACTTTTTCACAGGCAATTTATACGCTAAGTGTAGAATGCTTTCAAAAAATCGTATTCTCGCATGTAAAATAGAAAGACCGAATTCAGTAGCATCCTTTGAAATTCTCTTTTTGTCCTTTAAATTGTTGAATTCTTTGGAAGTTTTCCCACAAATATAGCAACGACTTGTAGATGTTGTTCCAGTAGCTGCGTTGCAAACCTTTCCATCTACCATTGTCATTACAAATTGGGAATGCACCAAAAACTTTTCTCCGTCAATATCCACCTCAGTCGCAACCAAATTATTAATGGAATTTTTAACATAATTGATCTCTGCATTTGTTACATCAGTTGTCTCTTTGACGAAGCGAAATCTTATTGGACGACAAAATCGGGCAGATGAAGGTGTTGGATTTTCCCATAACACCTTTTGATTGTCCTTACCGCAAATAAGTCGCACAGGTACAAAGCAGCTTTGAAAAATATTTGCATCAGAGTCAGCCTCATTTTGAAGTTTTTGTTTGTACTGTGCTTGTTGGGATCCATCGCAGCCCCATTTACATATCAACTTCAAAGTGTTCCGCTCTTGCTCTTTTATTGTCAATAAGACTTCTTCTAAGAATTCCGATAAGCGCTTAACAGTAATATCAATTAATGGTTGCAGTTGGGTTTCCGCGCAGGTACTCGTTATCGTGATCGTTTCTGGAGGAGGATAACATTTCTTTTTGGCTTCTTGAATTAGGCTATAACACGGGAAAAACTTCTTGTTCGTGTTTCTTATAACTTCATACTGTGCTCGTGTTAAATCTGCATCTATAAACATTTTTAAAGCTTCCATGGGGGTTAGACGCGATGATTTTCCACACTTAGAGGTATCGAAAGCTTTTTTGTACTTCGTTGCACGCGTCGGAGAGCTTGTTATATCTTGGAGAACGCGGGAAGCATCACGTTTTCCCGATTTTCTCAGTTCAACTTGAGCTGCGTGAACTATAACACCATCTTCTACATTGGAGCGGATCTCTTCAGTTTTTCTTCTTTTGCTCCTTTCGCTAGATTCACCAAATGATTTACGAGGGCGACCTTGACGATTTTTAGTTGTGACTGGAATTTCGAAATTGCCTTCCAGCCAAAGATGGTTGTTTGTTAAGAAAACCTCTTCTTTTTTGTGCGATTTAATCCACCTTTGCTTCATTTCTGATTTGAAATGTGAAAAATTGCGTTTCAGTTTATTTAACTGACTTTCACTAAGGTTGTCTTGAGTTAAAAGGTGGTCTCTCAAAAAACATAGCTTTTCTTCTAAATTACGTAAATTTTCATTCTTCATCTTATCGAAGAGTGATTTACGAGTCACTATTCTCACTCCAGAGGAACCCTCTGAACCTAAAACAAAATTTAAACATAAATTACTATTTCACTAATTTCGACTGTAAAAAATCAAAGTACTCTGCTTTAACGTATCTGCGCTATTCCGCGGCTAATTTATATAGGATTCGTTACTTAAGAATCTACTTTTTAAATATGAATGACAAAAAAAAGCCGGATCTACCCCGATACTAAAACAAATACATCTTTAAAGATAAAATTTCTTTAAAAAATCTTCTCATTTTAGACATTATTCCTCGGTCACTAAAAATATATGAAACAAAATTAAATTTTATTTATTATATAACATTTAGATTGTCACATACCTGTAGTCTCCGAATCCATTGCTTCTTTGCACCAGGTTAACACAGAAAACTGCAGTTTAGCTCACAATTTTAATGCTTTCTATAAATCGCCGATAACTGACAAATGCACAAAGTTCGATGATCAAATTCCGACTGAGTTTGCCAGATAACGCGCAACGGGAGAGGGGCGGGGACGGCGGCCTATTGTTCGTTGGAGTGTCCCCTGCATTAGGTAGTCGAATGCGGTAGCATTTTTGTAACTTTGTTATTTTGACTTTTGGCCGCGTAGATAATTAAAATACCCGTCTGTGTGACGTATCAAGGGATATATACGATCAAAATATAAAGTGGTGCATCGTGGCAAACGTGCCGTGTTAAACGCTATAGTTTCCACTTGGTCGTCTTATAACAAGAACGAATAATTTGGTAGTCGGTCATTTGACATGACGTTTAATAATGCGTTGTTAATTTGTCATCGTGGGACGTAAATATTTTAACAGACATAATTGTGATGGTTGGTTAGTAAATGCTGTGATTAGACTAAACAAACATTGATTGGTGAAACTGGGTCTAAGTGTTATAAAGGCCGCCGTTCAAACGAGCCTCCGGTCAGTTATATATTATAATATATGATTGTACTTCAGTTGTGTACAACTCTATAAACAGCCAACACTAGGCTCCGGGCGCCGCGACCCTCTCCAGATTATGTTTTATATTTTAAGAGTTACATCGTGGAGGTCGCTCCCTGAGAGGGTCGCGGCGCCGCGGGTCGGTCGCTTCCTCTGTGGCGTATTACTTCGTTTATTAAAATACATTTGTTTTAAACGACGTGCGTTTTATTTGTAACCCGCATACATCCAGAAGTCGTTCAATGCACAAGTTACCGACACGATCTGATAGAAAATAAAAAAATAAGTATTTTTCTTCTATAAGACCGAGTGAGCCGAGTTGACTTGAAAATGATGCCAAAGGGCAAAGAGAAGAGTACAAGACAGCCGAGCTCTATTACAGTAATTCAAAACGTATGTATTATTATTTTTCACTCTTTCGCCAAAAAAGCACTACGCAGATTATGATGAAACTTTACAACAATTTACCTAGGGTCATAACTGTGAAGCCGGGGCGGGCAAGCCTAAGATTAATAATAATAAATTATTCACAAACCCTACAAATTTAGTTCCGTTCAACTTATAGTCCGGTCAATTTAGACCAAAAAATGAGAGTGAAGTTACATAAAGTCCCAAAAAGCTGAATTTTTGTGAAATTGTTCAAAACATAATTATAAACGATGTCTTGAAGTTCCCCATCATTCCTCTGTAAGGAAATTTTTTTATTCTAGGTCAAAGGTCAAAAAAATGAGTTTTTCGCGATTTTCAGCAAAACCGTAAGTTTTATCATAAAAGTACCTCAGACAAAAATTATAGATCATAAAATTATCTATAACAAATGTATCAATACTTATTTTCTTACGAGCCACCGTTTCTGAGATATAACGATTCAATAAGTTATAAAGGTTGTTATTGTCATAATATGCATGAGTACGACACGTATATACATCTAGAGTTGTTATATCTTTATATATATAATTCTTCTGTGAGTGTGTATGTCACTGAACTTCTCTCAAACGACTGGACTTGAAATTTTTTGTGTGTGTTCAAGGGGATCTGGGAATGGTTTAGATTCACAATTTTGTCCGCTGGACAATGTTTTTTAATCTTTTTTATTTATAAAAATGAATTGCTGTTCTTTAGTCTCACTAAACTCTAGAACGGCTGAACGGATTTATCTCATATTAGTCTTGAAATGTTCGTGGAGGTTTAGGGAAGGTTTAAAAACTGAAAAAAATAATTCATTTCCGGGAAAACCCTAAAAACAGCCCTTTTCTATTCCCCATACAGACGTTTTTTTACAATAGATTTGACAACTAACTAATATGTCAATCATTCTGTCGCACTTCAAACCATGGAGATTTATGGCTTAAAGGTAAACTCCAAAAATATAAATAAAAAAACGTAATAGATATTTCTTGATTAGAAATAGAGCGATACGAAGTCTGCCAGGTCTTCTAGTTTTATATAATATATATTACAGTCAGCTGATTCGACGCCGAAAATCTGGGGACTTTCTTCTTTCACTCTCTTCATTTAATTTCTCGCTACGAAATAAGCATATTTCTTTGAAACAAAAAGCTGATTCTAATACTGATAATAATTGTTGTAGTACGAGGAGGACTTGCTGTGGATGTACTGGCTTCTTATTCTTCACGTTGTCTTTTATTAGCTGCAGAAATAGAAGACTTTTGAGTATAATTTTTACGGCAATTTTCATATACTGCATATTATCACGGGCAGACGAGATGTGATCACGGTTGCTGAAAAGTAGCCGAAACGTCGGGAGTATGTAGTTTCTAATCAAAAAAAAAAACGCGAAGTAAAATCCGAAAATATTAGTTTCATTTAAATGTGTACTCGCGAAAATCTTAGATCTCATTAAGTGACAAAACACTTTGTAATGTGGTGCCCTGAGCAGGGCCGTGCCTGACGGGCGTTCATTGCGTGCACCGCACGCAGGCGGCCGAAATTAAGAGGCGGCCAAATCGTTACAAGTTGTTTACTGGGCAAAAATACAATCGGTTTGTTTTCATTAAGATACGAAGTAAAAACAGTTTCTCTAATCTAATCTATCTAAAAAGAGTTTCTCAGAAATAAGAAATGTATAAAAACTGATTAGGTCGTTGTAGTATTTATATACCTAGTCATGCAGCGAATCCGAATTTTTTCGAAAATTGCACGAGCGACGAGCCGAAATAGTTTTTTCAATTGACCGGCGTCGCGTAAGCGGTCTTATTCGTCTTATTAGTCGTATTAGTCTATAGACTAGCGAGGATAAATCGTTATTTGTGTCCTGTGTGTGATCCGATATTATTAAAGTCTTTAATTTAACGAATAAAAATAAATTGCTTAATTCATGAAAACTTTTAGTTGTGTGTTCGTGTGGGTAAATTTAATAAAAAGTTTATTTACTCGACAAAGACTGAAAAAGGTAATACACAAAAAATGTAAAATTTGGGCAGACTTTCACTTTTGAGGCCCGGGAAAATTTGGCGGGCCTTTTTGGAGGGAAAAGGCCTTTTGATATGAAATTCTTTAATAAATATTAAAAAATATTTAATAATATTAAAAAAAATAAATAAATAATAATAAAAATAAATAATAAAATAGCGCAATTTAATATTAAATTACTTAAAATCTATAATTAATGTATATTTTAATGCGCATAGGATGACACGATAAGAAAATCATTTATAAGCTTCTTAAGTAAAACATATTTTTAAACATAAATATGTCAAGATTTATTTTGAAAATGAAAACGGAGAGGAAAATTGATTTTTTTCCCGGTTTGATGCCCTGTGTATAATAATAAACATTAAAAATTAAAGTAGTTTTTTTTAATGTTATCCTGGGGGCGGCCATACAGACTGGTACGCAGGCGGCCATATACCCAGGCACGGCCCTGGCCCTGAGAGAGGAATAAAAGCCGAGACTGCTGAATAGATACTGCCTTTATTTCCAATAGATCGTACATTAAATAGGTACAAAATTAGCTTACGTAGTATATATATAATGGTTAATAATATGTTTAATTAATATAATATACACTACATCTCATCTCCATCGCAATAAAAAAATAAAATAAACAATACAATTTATTTCATTTAGCCTATATTACGAGTGTTAATATACATAGTATAATGTCATATTATAATTACTTTCTTTACAAACTTTTGAAGTACATATTTAGTACATAAACTTTTAACAAAATTGTTAGGTAATTGGTTCAAAATACATTTTCGTTCTGTTTTTGTGAATAACATAGTTTTTATTATCCTTAATTATTTCTACATTGGGTGAACATTCCCTTATTACTTTGTATGGACCTGAATATATGTTGTGGAACTTACTGCCGGTTTCATTTTTTCAAATTTTCATTAAAATCAAATCATTCTGTTTATAAGTTATAGGGTTTATATTACGATGATATTTAGTTTTTCTTTTTAATTTACTAGCTATTAAATTTTCTCTAGCCTCTTTTTGTGACGATTGTAATCTGAATTTGAGTTCTAAAAGATAATTATCAAAACTGTACAAAGGATCAACTTGTGCTGATTGCAAATTAGATGGTAAAATACATTTTTTACCGAACACCAACTCATAGGGAGTGAACTTAGTCTCCGTATGTACTGCAGTGTTATAGGAAAAACACCATAATGGAAGCCACACGCTCCAAGCTTCTGAGTGATTGCCTGTCTGTATTCGCAAATAGTTACCTAGATGTTTGTGAGAATTCTCCAAGGCACCGATGCTTCGATGATGATAAGCGGTAGACTGCATCTTGTTAATATGCAAAAGTTTACAAACCTCTTTCATTGTGTCCGATAAAAACTCCGTTCCCCTGTCTGTTGCTATCTCCTTCGGGATACCATACCTGAGAATAAAATTGTTTACGAAGTTCCTGGCTACCTCATCTGACCTTCTTGATATTAATGGGTAGGCCTCAATATACTTACTCAACTCACATTGTATAGTTAAAATGTACATATAATTATTGTAATCTCTGTCTAATGGCCCTACTACATCTAAATATACCTTCGCAAACGCCGAAGTTGCCGTTGAACTTATTGTCATAGGTTCCTTAGTATAATGTGAGGAATGTTTTTGTTTTTGACATTGTCACACCTTTTTAAAATTTTGGCCAAAAAAAATATTTCTTTATGTTATTTACCATTCGTCTTAGGCCGACATGGCCACTTGTGGGTAATATATGAAAATCGTTTAAAATTACACACGTTTAAAATTTCGCACATAAACTTTCTACATTAATCCTTTTCTCTTTATTTAAATTATTTAACTTCAATTTTGACAGGAGTGTTTTAATTCGCGATGCACTTTTCTCGATCTTATTGAAGTTACAAATATTATATTCCTTTAAATTTTCTATAAGTTTAATTTCAGATAAAGTTATATCTTTTGAGGTGGTATTCAAAATTCGGACTGGTATTTTGCCATTATTTGGATATACTAACGTACTCGCTATAAATACTCCCTCACATACTTCTTTCGTACATACCACACACTCCTCTGCTAAACTGGTATTAATATAGTGAATTGATTCTGATCTGGCAGGTAACGACAATAAATGACTACACGAGTCTATTAATTGCAAAGATATTTGTTTAGATTCACTGATCCATAAAGACAGACTATTATGTTTCATATCAATCACCGCTCCATACTTTCCTAAAAAGTCTTGTCCTAAAATACCATGCGACTTACAAGGTAACGTGTCAAATACATAAAACTTATGACTAATATACTGCCCGTGTACTGTCAACTGTAAACATACGTATCCGATAGCCTGTACCTTTCCACCTATCTCGTTTATGGTTATGTTTTCTTTGTTAATTGGAATGTTGAAATCTAAAACATGTTTATGTTTTATAGCTGAAATTGAGGCTCCTGTATCTATGAGCCAATTAAAAGCGTATCTGTCTTTGTAAAATAATTTTATGAAGTAACTACTATCGCTGGCTAGAATACTATATGTTGAAGGCACGAAAAAAATCATTTTCAGGTTCCGAATTCTGAGTGGATGAAGTCGATCGAGGCTGTGACTCATCAGTTATTATTGTCCGAATCTGTCCTTTGAATGCTCTATGACCCCTAGAATAATTATTAAAAGTTCAACCTGTCAAGATCTTTACAGTGACAACGGTACGAATTTTGTTGGAGAGAGAAACAAGTATATGAAATGTTCCACAACGCCCGTTCTGAGTTACCGAGTGAGATATCACGTTTGATAACATTTGAGAACACAAGGTGGCATTTACGAGGGGAGGTCAAAAAGTTCGCGGAATGGAGGGGATGGAGGGGGTTGATTTACTCGTCCAGGAAGTAACTTGTTCAACACCTCATTAATAGTATATATACCAAGTTTGAACCAAATCGGGTCACAAACTTTTGAGTTATTAACCTGCAAACGAGTGAATCGGGAAGAAGTCAGTGAGTATGGAGAAAATTGAACACCGCGCTGTTATTAAGATCCTCACCAAGCAAGGAAAATCCGCTCAGACGATTTTTGAAGAGCTGTTATCAGTTTACGCGGTCTCTGCCCTTGGTAAAACCATGGTTTACAAGTGGCATGGACTTTTTAAACAAGGGAGAGAGTCCATTGAAGATGACCCCCGCTCCGGACGACCGATTGAGGCCACCACACCGGAAATCGTCGCAAAAGTAGAAAAACTTATATTGGAAGATGCCCGGTTGAAGAAGAAACAACTTGCAGCAATGGTTGGAGTATCCGAAACCAGCATTTTAAATATCCTACATCATCATCTTGGGATGACTAAGGTCAGTGCAAGATGGGTTCCACGAATGCTCACGCCACTTCAAAAGAGCGAGCGTGTCGAGTGTTCTCGCCAGTTTTTGAAGCTCTGTGGGGAGAATAAGGATGAAGTTATGCACCGGATTGTTACTGGTGATGAAACCTGGGTTCACCACTATGAACCTGAATCGAAGTTAGAATCGATACATTGGCATAAAAAAGGCACAGCTCCTCCCAAGTAGTTTAAAGTATCACAATCGGCCGGAAAGATCATGGCGACTGTCCTTTGGGATACAGAAGGTATTTTGCTGATCAATTATAAAGATCGTGTTGTGACTATAACGGGACAGTACTACGCTCCTTTATTAGATAGATTGAAAGAAGCTATGAAGGAAAAAAGAAGAGGAAAGCTGTCAAAAGGTGTGCTCCTTTTGCACGACAACGCAACAGTCCACACGTGCCATGTTGTGACGGCTGCCATTCACCGATGCGGATTCGAAAAATTACACCACCCACCTTACAGTCTAGACTTAGTCCCCAGCGACTATTATTTGTTTTCAAAAAATGAAAAAAAAAGCTGCGTGGAAAAAAATTTGAGAAGTCAAGTCCGCAATTTCGGCCTATTTTGATAGCCAAGATAAATATTTTTTTTCGATGGTATTAATAAATTATTTGTGAGATCCGAAAAATGTATTAAGGTTAAGGGAGGTTATATTGAAAAGGAAAAATAGTTTCGTGTTAAATTTCAACCCCCTTCCCGTTCATTCCGCGAACTTATTGACCTCCCCTCGTAATACCACCTCATGCTCCAAATGTCGGAGGCCTCTGGGAGGCAGGGGTTAGGTCTGTCAAAACTCATCTACGAAAGGTTATTGGTGATAGCACGCTGACTTACGAACAATTATCTACAGTATTGACGCAGGTGGAGGCTTGTGTAAACTCGCGTCCTTTATGATTACATTAATGAGCCACTCCCACTGACACCAGTTCATTGTTTGATAGGAGAACCCATTCTTAATGTAACTGATATTAATTATTCTGATAAAAAATGTACTGCTCTGGAAAGGTGGCATTTAACTCAAAAAAATGGTTAACGAGTTTTGGAAAAGGTGGTCGAAAGAATATTTGTTAACTTTGGCTAATAGATATAAGTGGAATAAAAAAACCCAGAGCCTGACATCAATGATGTAGTAGTGTTAATGTAAAAATAGATATGTTAAACGTCCACTTCATAAAGTTTGTGTTTTAACAAAATAAACATGATATTGTCACGGTGGCCGGTTATAATGTCCAATGTATTCAATGTCTGTTTATATTACTATAGTTTTATTTTCTTTGAGTTTTCTATTCATTAGATTTTTTTGAGTTGTATTTTTTTTCTTAACTTTACTTTTCATTGTGTGTGAAGAACCATACTGTAATTAAAATGAGTTGAATGAATGTCTTAATTTTTTGAGTCATATCTTCTATGTACTAGCTGTTTGGTTGATTGTGTTTTAGTTAAGTTAGATTTTAGTTAAGTTTTTGCTAGTTATTACACCTTCCGAGTTTGTTATTTTTTATTGTATGTGTATTGTAACTAAAAGAACTATGTTCTTGGTGGGCGGAATGTACAATTTAGATTGTTTTTTTTTTATTACCCATTCCTGTAACAAGTTATTACATACAGTCCATTGCTTTTGTTTAATTATATTTCTAATTTAGTTACAATTAAAGAGTCATAGTGAATACACGTTGTTTGAGTTTAAAAAATCCCGATTAAGGAAAAGGAGGAAGAGGGGACGCGAGGAACGAACTGAAAGGTCTGTCTTTATAAACAACATTTAATCTCAAATAGATTCACGTATGACTGGACCGGTCACTGAAGCTCTGTACGTGTGTGTGTGTGTGTGTGACGTCACTGGAGCTCCGCCTGAGTCTGCAGCAACAACTTGGCGAGCGACTGACGCGCGCCCAGCAGCAGGTCGGAGAAGCCGCGCTCCCGCTCTCGGACCAGACACGCCCTCTCCTCGGAGGGGGAGGGGGCGGGGCTGCAGGGGCGGGGCCGCGGGGGGAGGAGCAGCGCCGGCTCCGGGGCGCGGAGCACGCGCAGGGGGCTAGCCGCGAGGACCTCTGAGGGAGACGCCTCCTCGGACCCGCCCGCCTCCAGCCAGACACGGAGAGCTGAGGATGAACGAATAGTGAGAGAGAAACAAACAGACGACAATAGAGGCAGTTCACGTGAAGCGGACAGAAAAAATGAGGTTTGGAAAATCGATCACATTGAGACCATTTATACTTATAGTAGGTATGCATGTAAACACTGAATATATTTTTTGTATAATGTATATTTCACTGTAATCGGAATAGGTACCTATAAATTTTTATGAAAATATTTTTTTGAATTAAATAAATGTACAATAAAGTATATATCATAACGATACTTATAATAAATAGGTTTTGTTTTCATGTCCAAAACCGGAAGTAAACTTTTCAAACTTGAATTTCATTCACTTCGACCATTTTTATTTTTTTATTCAAAATATAGCTTAACATACCTACATCAAAAATACCCTGAAAAAATTTAGAATGTGATCTCTATTAGTTTAAGAGTTACATTGTTATATGTACACACGCGTCTCAACGGGCGTGATGTCTAACGCTAGCTTAGATGGGCTGGTGTGCGTTAAACATCATGTCTTGTATAACTGGTGTGGTAGAATAACTATAACATTATTGTAACAATGCAAGAACTAGTTTATTTTGTAATTTTTACTACTAAGTAGTTTATTTTGTAGTTTTTAATTTTATAGATGAGTTATGCGACGCTTTGGACCTTTTGAAACCTCATTCTTACATTGCAGAGGAACAGGCGCTTTATTTAAAACTCTTAAGGAGACTGTCGATGAAGGTCAACTTGTCGTAGAATGTGATTTTTCAGAAAATTATAGTTTTGTTGTCCAAGATGCTGCTCCATCTTTTCAATGGAATACAGAACAAATAACACTTCTATCGTTGATTTGTTACTATAGAGACGGTTGTGAAGTAAAGCACGGCAGCATCGTTATGATCTGTGACGACTTGATACATTATACAGTCACCTTCTAAACATTACAAAAGATACTACACAAACATCTTTTGGAAAAATCAATAGTTGGGTCTAAAATAATATACATAGCCGACGGGACTTACCGACACTTTAAGAACAGATTCAACTTTGTGAATCTGTTTCATTACAAACGAGATTTTAATGTTGATGCAGAGTTGCATTTTCATGCGACGTCTCACGGAAAAGGGCCATGCGATGGTCTAGGAGGGAATCTCAAACGTTTAGCTGCGCGTGCGAGTCTACAGTTACCTTCGAGTAAAGCAATCGTAACACCAATACGATTATACGTTTGAGCAAAATCATCTTCAAAACAAACAGCCATTTACTTCTGTTCTAAAGACGACAAAGAACGACAGAGAAATTATTTGCAACCTCGGTTTGAATCTACAGTCACGATTTCAGGAACCAAAAAGTTTCACAGCTTTATTTCAACAACCATGGCATTCTTGTGAAGAGAACCAGTTCTAGCAAAGATTTTAAAGTAGTAAAAATTACAAAATAAACTAGTTCTTGCATTGTTACAATAATGTTTTATAATGTTATAGTTATTCTACCACACCAGTTATACGAGACACGATGTTTAACGCACACCAGCCGATCTAAGCTAGCGTCAGACATCGCGCCCGGTGAGACGCGTGTGTATATATATCAATGTAACTCCTAAACTAATAGAAATCACATTCTAAATTTTTAGGGTGTTTTTGATATATGTTATACTATTTGCGCTGTAGCATGGTGCGGGTGACAGTTTCAGTATCGTTTCGTTTCACTCTTGAAAGTTGCCGCGATTTACAAATTATGACTTAGTATTTCAGCTGTACCACATTCGTAATAAATTAAATCATTCATTACTGAAGTAGTTTAAATTAAACCAAACCAGCATGTTCTAGTGTACAAATATAATCTAATGGAAAGAAAAATTAAGCAAAGTATTATGCGTTTAACGTAATGCCATAGACGTATTTAGTGATGGGATGAACTGCTACAATGGATAGTCGATGTTGTTTTTTTATAATAAAAAATATACATATATTGGCTGTAGTTCAATTATTATTGTAAAAAGTCTATAATTATATTAATGAAACAACAGATCTTATATAAAATTGATTTTATTCGTCTAAACTCATATCAGAACCAGAAACATCTGAATTGTCACTAAATTCATCATCTGTATCTGTGACGGATATTATTAACGATGAATCCATTATATTGTCAATATGTTGTTACGGATAAAAATCATAAACCCGATTTTAATTATTTTATATGAGTACTATATTATTTATACTGCGAGTATCGTTAATGATAAAAATGAATTACGCAACATCACTAGTCATATGGTACTGACAGATATCAACGTCATATAGGCAAATGTCACCCGCACCAAGCTACAGCGCAAATAGTATAAGCTATATTTTGAATATAAAAAATAAAAATGGTCGAAGTGAATGAAGTTCAAGTTTGAAAAATTTACTTCCGGTTTTGGACATGAAAACAAAACCTATTTTTCTATATTTTTTATCGTTAAAAAGAGCAGTCTTTTCCGATAAGTATCGCTATGATATATACTTTATTGTACATTTACTTAATTCGAAAAAATATCTTCATAAAAATTAATATTCCGATTATTACAATTTTTTAGACACTCATGACTTGTAAAATATATATTATACAGAAAATATATTGTGTTTACATTCATACCTACTATAAGTATAAATGGTCCCAGTATGATCTATTTTCCAAACCTCACTTTTTTTCTGTCCGCTTCACGTGAATGCCCCAGTCCACAGAGCGTGTATCGGCTCACCTTCCGTGTAGTCTGTGTTGTAGACGGAGAGCAGCTCGCTGTGAGTGAAGCGGCCCGTGTGCAGCGACGGCCGCGACCCGTCCGCCTCCACGAACAGCGGGTGCGCGTACTGGGAGAAGCGGCCGAACGGCAGCGGGCTGAACCACTGGGACCCCGCCACCGTGTTCATGCGGACCTGGGGGACGACATGAGGGTCAGTGAGAGTCAGGGAGGGTCAACGACAGTCAGCGGGGCAGGCCGCGCACTCACCCTGTTGAGGAAGTCCTCGGTGAACTCCATGCTGTGCTCGCCCACCAGCAGCAGCGCGTCCTTCGGGGCCCTCCCCAGCGCCGCCCTGAGCGCGAGCCGCACGTCCCGCCGCGCCCTCTCCCCGGCCCCGCACAGCCCTCCCCCCTGCCCCTCGCCCCGCCCTATACCGGACACGAGCACGTCCACGTGTTGTCGGGCGCGGTGCTTCTCCCCGACCGTCCTCAGCATCTCCCTCAGCTCCTCCACGTGAGCTCGCTCGTCCTCCGTCAGCCGTCCTCCGTCACTGGCAGGTATCACCACCTGTAACGTAACACCTCTACGTTTATTTATTTATTAATTTAGGAACACCAACAGTGTACATATAATATACAACATTTACACAAAAAAATATAGCCAAAACTAAAGGTCTACATATGTACACCTATTACAGGTGTTCACAGCATTGCCTAAAAAATTGTTTAAAAACAACACCTTAATCTAATTATATTATATTACATTTACAAGAAAAACACTATTAAATAAAAAAACACTAATTAATAAAAACAACACAAATTAAAAACGAAAAGTTACAATTTTAAATATACGTTACAATTTTAAATCTACGTTAATAATAATAATACATTTTATTGATTAAAAGATTACAGCACTACATAACAAAAACAGAATGACACATATCACATATATTCTAAAAAAAGGAAAATGATAAATAAAACAAATATAAAAGTAAAGAATCATTAACAACAATAATAAGTGTGCAGCAGTGTAATCTAACCAAAAAGAGAATCACTCAGTTGAAAATAGAAGCAATGTTGCTTCTACACTGATTTACAGTGATCTCCTGATGTTGAGGCACTGACAGCGGTAACAATTACATTAAATTAACATTGTTAAATTTAAACATAACAATACAGATAAAATAATATGTAACATTAATATAAACAAAACATTAAACATATAATGTAGAAAGGTGATATCTACCGCGCTTGCTACGCAGGTGTAACATTTATATAATATTATATTACATCTGTTCAATGCTCGCTCAGTGCAGCCCGCACCATCTAAAGGATAATACAACAAGCATCTTGTTTATTAATTACAAATGTACTCAAAACGAACACAATAAAATACACAACAGTGACTAAAAAATAAATTGTAATATTATATTTTTAATAAGCGGTTTGACTAGGCAAATATAAGGTAAGATATATTTCTATTAAATACGTCATAGATATAACTATTTATTATATGAAATTAGTATAAAACAAAGATAATTTAATTTAACAAAAACCAACATTATATTTACCAACAATATCTATCTTATTAACATCAAACATAACTTATTATAATTTCTCTTAAAGATATAACTCATAAAAACTATACGAATTATGAAAAAAGGCAGTTAAGATGACATCCTATGGAAAAAAAAAACAGAAAAATCGAGCCGCAAATAAACAGGTACCTATATAATATGTAATTTTTTTATAATTCATTCCATTTTGCTATATTATTATTAAAATCACATACATTATAATTTTGTCAAAATTAATGTAGAATATACATCCATATGTGACTATAAACATAATAATCTATACTAAAATTATAGAGCTGAAGAGTTTGTTTGTTTGTTTGAAAGCGCTAATCTGCGAAACTACTGGTTCGAATTGAATAATTCTTTTTGTGTTGGATAGTCCAGTTATCGAGGAAGGCTGTGGGCTATATAACATCACGCTACGACCAATAGGAGCAAAGACATAGTGGTAAATGAGTAAAAAACGGGAGAAATTATTTCATCTTTGAAGCTTTTCGTTGCGTGCGCCGTGAAAACGGTTCAAGATACACAAAAAATATGTATTAAAGAATAATAGCTCTTTCAATGATCTAAAAAACAGTCCGCGACAGTATATGTGTATCTTTTAAGATTAACTCACAAAAACCGTTTTTATGGTACCTAATTTGGTCGAAATAATTTGTTTAAGTTGTATAAATATAATAATATTAATCTTTATTCAAATAAACAAATAAATATGTTGTTGGTTAAGAGTACTTCATTGTGAATTAAAAAAAAACATAGGTCTTATCCTGAAAATTCTACGGGAACTCGACAATTCCAAAAACCCCGCAAGAACGGGAACTATGTGGGAAGAACCAAGAATCTGCCAAGTCACTATTCCACGCGGACGGAGTCGCGGCAAAAGCTAGTTAGAATATAAATAGCTAAACAAAACTGCAATAAGTAAAAATTAAAAACGTCTAATAGTTATAACAATTAATATCTATATATTATGTTTAAGATTTTTTTTTGTTTATCTAATAAATATAATATACTGTCTGGCCGCTATGTATTACACTGCTGCAAAGATATACGATTATATGTTTATAATTAATAAAAATACACCTAACATTATTATAATAAGCGTGAATCACCGTATAGTACATGTATTACCCCCTCGCCCCACTCACCACGTACAGCGCCGTGTTCCCGTCCCTCTGCAGACACACCGCCTCGTACCGCTCCAGGAAGGCGGCCAGCTGTGTCCGCTGGTCGGGCGCGGCCAGCACGACGTGCACGCGCGCGCTCTCCGTCACGTAGGGGGCGGGCGCGAGGCGGGCCGCTCCCAGCGCGCGCGCCGCCTCCACCTGCACCAGCCGCCCGCCCCCTTCACCCGTCACCCTCAACAACAGCCGGTACCGCAGCGCGCGGGGCGGCTCCCAGCACCAGGCGCCCTCCTCCAGCTCCACGGACGCTGCCCCTCCCTCCGCGCCGCCGCCCCACCTCCGGCCCACCCACGCCCGCACCTCCTCCACGATCAGCTGGACACACAACACAGAGCAACATAAGAAAAATACATTATAGTAAAATAATCATTATGGTGCAGTGTCAAAAATGTAAACTATTTTTATCAACATCTAAAGATGACGTCGTGAACTAATATTGATAGGAGACATCAACATCGATGTATGCGCGCGCGCATCTGCTAATGTGCACCCTATCGGATCACTATATAGTCGGAACTAGCTTGACTGCAGCGGGTGATGTACATGTGAACAATACTTGTTATAGTGAAACTGTCTTAAAACAAAAGATGATAAGTGTTAGTTTAAAAGAAATTAATTGGACGGAAGTACCTATTGGAAATAACTTGTCCTCTGTTGTTGTATGAAAAACTATATTGTATTTTCGCTAGTATTTATGAAAAAAGTAAAATGCTTATAATATCTAAAAGGAAAAAGAATCACGCAACCCTGGGTTAATAGTGTACTTGGAAAAAAATTAGAATATAGGGATTCTCTATACAGAATTTGGAAATCGGCACCTAATAATATGAATAATAGATTAATATATACGCGATACGGAAATAAAGTAAATAAATTAGTCAATATCTATTGCTAAAAATAAATATAGACAAAATCAAATAGAGGAATGCCACAATGATTTTAGGAAAATTTTATCAATAGTAAACATGCGGACAGGTCAACAGAAAACGAGACGACGATGTAATTATAAATTACTAAGGTAAAACGGATACTACATTAAATATCTATAATAAATTTTCTAACACTTTCACAAGTGAAATAAAAAAAATAACACATAAGTGTGATATGTAATTACTTTTTGGATAGAAGTTCATATATAACACCAAGTAATGTATCCTTTTCAGAAAGTAGATGCTTACATAGTAGAAAAATATATTAACAAATAAAATAATAATAAAGAACCAGGGTTAGATATGATAAGAGTACAACATATAAAGACTGTAAAGAAATAAGTCCTATAATAGATAAATTTGTAAATATGTGTGTAAGTGAAGGAGTTTACCCGAATATCCTAAAAAGTCTATAATACGACCTATTTTTAAACATGAAAATCACTTAGATTATAGTAACTATAGGCCAATCGCGATATTATCAGTAATAAATAAATTAGTAGATAAAATAATAGTTAATCAAATAAGTAATTTCCTTGAAAAACATAGTTTAATATCGGATGGCCAGTGTGGTATTAGGGGCCCGGTCAACCGATGGTTTAAATGTTATTTAGAAAATAGGTATCTCTATACGACGATCGATGGAACGACTGGTGATGAGGTAAATGTTACACTCGGAGTACTGTGTCATAAAGTACTGTAAAGTGTTCATGTATGCAGACGACATGTGTTTGATATATTCGTGTAAAGACGGACTCACAAACAGATCTTGAATATATTATTAAACGGGCACACGATAATGTCATTATCATAAATCACTCAGAAACAAAATCTATGAAAATATGTTCACCCTACAGCAAGACGTTAAACATAAATATAACGGGACATACATACGAATGCTTGCATGACAATAAAGACAGAAGCCTTTGTGAAAATATACAAATAGTAGATCATTACAAGATATTTAGGCTTATTAGTTGATTATCGTTTTAGTTGGAAGTTACAAGTCAACGATGTCTGGAGTAAGTTACAGTCTGTTTTGGGGTAAATTCTTTCACCTCAGTGGTATAATAAATAGGAAAATAATGTACATGTTATACTATGCACTCGCTGACCCAATAATTACCTATTGTTTAAGCAGTTATGGCCTTACATTCAAAACTTATCTAGATCGTATAAAACAATTACAAATAAGGTTACTAAAGTATTTAGTTACGAAAAAACAAAACTAAAATGTAAACCACACTACATATGACAAATTATTTAACATTTGTAAAATAATTGCTGTCCACATGAAATTTGAATACCTTATTGCTATAGAGCAATTCCATATAAAATAATAAAAAGACAAGAGATCACACAAATATTCCACTACACTTGCTAAGAAGAGAAAATACGAAATAATGTACATTCATAACAAACTACTGTGACAAACGGACTAGACAATACTTGACACCGGTCATATATAATGAGATAGAAATGTTAAGAAACATTGCTGAAGATGCAAGCATAGCATCATTAAAAAGTAAACTAAAATGTAAACTCTTAGAAAATTTAAAGTAAAAGAGTTATTTGAAATACTTTAGATACATATTATGTGTAAGTTAAAAAATAACTATGTACCTATAAAAAGGATGTAAAAAAATGTATTAAAAATGTATGTAAGTATGTGTGTGTAAACCTAAAACTAAGCGGTACTTGTATGTAACATATGTAGACGTTAAGTAAGAGCGTCTCTTTCGCCAACAAACTGTTCTGCAGTTTGGCGATTTTGTTGTAATTTTGTTAATGTTATTATAACATGTAAAGTATATAAATAATAACTCACGTCCACGGCCTGCTTGTAGGACGCGCTCAGCTTGGAGACGGCGCGGTGGTCGTCGAATTGGAGGGCGTGTGTGAGGTTGAAGCGCGTCCAGCGGAGCAGGTCGAACCTGGAAACACGACGTAGTGTTGTTAGTGACGCGGGGTGAGGGGGCGGGGGCGCGGGTGAGGGCGGCGGGGCCGGGCACCTTGTGGGCGGGGGTGGGGGCGCCAGGCCTGCGTCCGCTCGGAGCGCGCTCGGCCACGACACGTTCCTGTAGCCGGGCGGGTGGTGCCGCGAGCTGAGCGCCGCCTCCAGCCGGGTCCGCGCCTCCTCCTCCCGGACACGCTCCAGGTTCACCTGCGGACAGCGGAGATACATAAGTGACGACCTCCACCGCGCTCCTCTCAGACTGTAACGACTGACACGTAACTAACCCTGGACACGTAGGCGTGAAGGCGGTAGAAGTCGTCGGGGGTGAGCGCCGGGTGGAGGGTGACCGCGTCCGCCAGGGAGGGGTGCAGGCGGGCGCCGGCGGGCGGGAGGGGCGCCGTGTCGTAGGAGGCGGCCTGCAGCCCCGCCACACAGCGCAGGCCAGCCGCGTGCAGCACGCAGCGGCCGAGGTTCTCGTGGTGGTGCGGTGAGTATGAGTTCCGGACGCACCAGTCCAGCTGCTCGTGCACGGCTCGCAGCACCGAGTTGGACAGGAGCAGGCCGGCCTCCAGGGAGCAGTAGTGAGGGTCGTCGGCGGAGACGGCTCCCATGTACACGTCCTGACTCACGCTGAGGCTGGACACCAGCTGGTTCAGACGACGAGCGTTCACGAAGGTGGCGTCCGACACCAGGAAGAAGAAGTCGTACTCCTCGAGGAAGTTGTCCGCGAGGTACTTGAGCGCGTGGAACGGCTTCAGCATCTCGCGCGTGTCCGTGAAGCCCACCACGTTGGCCCGGCCCGGCGCGCCTTGCAGGGCGCTGGCCGTGATGAAGAAGCGCAGGGCGGGCTGGAGACCCGCGGCCGTCTGGTTGAGGGCGGCGGCGCGCGACTCGAGGGCCGCCTCGGAACTGAGGACACCTGACAATAAGAAACTGGAGATGTTAACATGAAACACTGAGAGAACACTCAGAACAGACAGACATAGACAGGCGGGTCCTTTGAAACGACTACTGAACAAGTGAGGACAAGTACCTGTGTAGTTCTACTAGCATTAAAACATGCTTATAATTCGGGCCCAGATAAATATGTATTAAAAAATCAAAAATATGTACATAAAATATGAACGAAAAAATCAAAAATATGGAGTATAAAATTAAATAGTTTCATAATTAAAAGTTGTTTTACTATAAGAAAAGGGTCACTTGTGACATACATTGTTAAGTTACATTTAAAAAATGATGAAAAAAGTAGCGAAATATCGATTTCAACAAAAATAACAGTTTTATTCAACTTACATTACACTAGTCTTATCAAATCGGTTGCAATACACAATGACATGCTTCTTTAAATTATCAAAATGAAAACTGACCATTTGGTTGAAATATAGCATTATATCTGCTGAATGATCTCTCCATGTCACATGACGTGATGGGTGCATACTTAAACATGCTTAATTCAGTAATTGTGTAAGCCATGTCTACAGCCCTCGAAACAATCACACAGAATTTTGTAAATTTTTTTAGCGTATCAAATCCTTTATTTTTAACCAAAACATTAGTGCCGGGAACATAAATTTTATGTATTCTTGTGAATATATGGATGACTTTGACATTTTCTTGTAAAATATGGACTTAACTTTGAAATATGATAAAATATGGTATAATATGGTTATGGTTAAATATGGTATAATATGGTTTTTAAACCGTTTTTCATAGTCTAAATATGACAATCCATGTAAAAAAACACATTCTAGACCGAAAATCGCGTAAATAAAAAATATGTATTTACATATTAATCCAGGCCCTACTTATAATATACAACTCCATATCTTTTATATTTTATATTGGACTTTTATGTTTTACAAACAAATGACGATACCATTAAAGATTATCATACAATGATAACAACAATCTTGTAATGATTGTATTTAATCAAATTAAAAAATGTATCTCACAGATATATGGATCTAACAAAACATTTCCCTCTCCATATTTATGAAGCGAGAAATTATGACTCTTAGGATTGATTATAATGATGAGTATGTCACATAGTGTACCTGCCAGCAGGGCGGCTCGCATGCCCAGTTCCGTGCTGTAGTATCGTGGTCTAGTGACGGTGCGTCCCGCGGGGCCCGCCGCGCCCGGGGGACGCTCCTCACGCTGCGGCTCGAACTCGTCCAGGGCCGCGGCCGTGGAGTCCTCGCACGACACTACATCCTCCTCGAGTGGCACCGTCGCCAGCGCGAGCCACAGACCGATACCCAACCCCACCAGGAAGTACGAGTTATGTTTCACTTGCGATACCACGTAGCGTGACAACATTCTGTTAGGAACAGTATATCATGCCGGTCTACACACAAGAACTCTTCGTGAGAGCAAGTCAATGAAAAGTATTGATGAGCAAGATAGTCACTAAAAACTAAAAAGCTATAAGTAAACTATCATTAGCAACATGAGAAGTGTTGCTTTTAAATAGTGACTGATGACAATCGAGTAGACTTTGACATTTTTTTGGCTATGTTCGTTCCGTTCAGAATAGGCAAAGAGAACAAAGCCCATACAACCATGTCTTTTGTATTTTGTATCATTAATTATATTTAAATGTCTTAAACCCCTTTTTTATTCTTGAATCAAGTTTTAATATCAGGCGTAAGCCAAGTCTTCTTTTAATTTTCTTCTATTAAATCTTCTAAACATTTTTTTAATTTTAAGGCCGTAGCCATGTCTTCTTTTAATTTATCTTCTTGAATCATTTTTAATTATAAGGCCGAAGCCATGTCTTAATTTCAAATTATTTTTTTTTTGTCAAATTCTTGTTTTTTTACATTCCGTCTTTTTTCAATGTCAAGTCCTTGTAATGTCATTTTAGGTACAATAATTAATTTGTCAAAATCGATATAACAGTCAAATTATGAAAATTCAAAATAACTGAAAGCAAATATGTTGAATAAAACGAACAAATTAGTATTATATACATATGTATAAATAACAATTAGATTTCATTATACATAGTAGAAACAATAAAGCCATTAACTGGCAAGAAGCATTTTTGAATGCTTAGTATTTGCTGAAGGGAGCGCGGGATATCTTCAGCAGTTTTAAAAATACTTAAAGTGGGTTACAAGGACCATCCTTTGAATACTAAACTATGGACAATCAAAAAATATATGTTCGAGGGTTTCATCAGCATTATTGCAATATCTACAAGTTGAAAGTCAAAAACACCAATCCTAAAAAGGTGAGCACCAAAACGACAATGTCCCAGACGCAAACGACAGATTGTGGTATAATACTTTCTATGGCTATAGTCACTTCTTCTTCCTGGCAATTTCCCAGCTTTAGCCAGGGTCTGCCTTCCAACATAAACGCCTCCATTTTGCACGGTCTTTGGCATCCTCGGTGTTTAATCTATTGGCTCTCATGGCTATAGCCACTACCCCGGGTAAAACAGGGGGAAAAGAGATCTTTTTCTTTATTGTAGCGAACCATTTTCCTTTTACCTTTACCACCTGATGCCATAAGTTGTAAAATTCTTTCTGTAACTTGAGTTTGAAGAGGGATAGAGCGTCTGAATAAGGAATTGGGAAATTTAAAAAGTTATGACATCATTGATTGTGGGCCGGATATGTAATAAATTTAGCTAAATAGTCTGCGTGCTCATTACCATGCACACCAATGTGGGCTGATGTCCAGAATAGGAATATTTGCTTGTTTTGAGACAGAAGTTGATACAACTCTTTTATTTTATGTATAATATTGTTAGGTTTTGAATTTAATTGTGGATTTTGTAGTGCCGTTAATAAAATTAAACTATCCGTTATTATAATCCACTTTGGATGAGTCTGTGTTTGAATGTGCTCCATAGCTGTGTATTCAGAGGAGTACATGCTTGTCAGTGGATTCAGCCTATGATCGAATCCAGTTTTGATCTGACTATCATAGACAGCTATAGAGACTGCTTCATTGTTCCTAGACCCATCTGTATATATCTGATGATATCCCTGCCACCTATCAAGTTCCCTATAAATGTCTTCCTTATACTTTAGAAGACTTTTGACTACAATTTTAATCTGAATAAATTTTGATTCATATAACCCAGAGTAACAAGGCCATACCATGCTAGAAAATATATTATGTTTATTAAAAATTTGTTCTGTTTCAGAAAAACCTTGAAACAAATATGAATTAGTATTGGCAGTCCTGTTAATAGTATCCCGCAGTTTAACAAGAAGTGGATGATTACTAATGGAGAGCAACCTTGCAAAAATTTTGATTGTAAGTATTTAAACCAAAGTGCTAATGGAGGTATATTACATTCCACCTACATTGATAGTATGGGAGTAGTTCGCATGGCACCCATTATAATATGCAAACATTTATTTTGTATCTTTTCTAATTTTTCCACTATAGTTCTTACCCCTGCAAATCAAAAAAAGCATATTCAAAATGACTCCTTACTAATGATTTATACAATGTTAATAGAATCGTTGGATCAGCACCCAAATATGTGCCTGTTAAAGATTTTAAAACATTACAAGCATTTAGGCCTCGGCCTCGAATTTTGCGGGCAGCGGAGCGGCAGCGGGAGCGGCAGGATCTTACGCGTATAATCAAATGGACCGACCCTCGAATACAGCGGTGCCCGCTACCCGCTATTTTGGAGAAATGTATGCGTTTTCGTGGCGCCGCCGCTGCCGCTCCGCTACCCGCAAAATTCGAGGCCGAGGCCTTAAAGCTTAAGATTGTAGAGTTTCAACATACTTATTCCATCTAAAATTGTTTGTAAAAATAACTCCTAAAAACTTGACAGAGCTCTCTACAGACATTACATTATTATTTAACAAAACATTTACATTCCCATTTCTAATTCCATTTTTTGAAAAGACAACAACTACTTTTTTCATTGCTTACCTCCAGCCCAAGGCTAATAAAATAGTTCTTTAGTCTTTGGTGAGCAACATTGAGGACTGATTGTACATGTAAAAAATTAGTATTAGAGCAATAAACAAACTAAATCATCTGCAAACTGCAGATTAGAAACTTCACACCCCAGAGTTAAATTTAGCTGATGTATGAATAGGATAAAAAGCAATGGGCTCAATACACCACCCTGTGATACACCCCTACAAGAATATCTTGGACCAAATAACTGATTGTTGACCTTAACAAACACCTTTCTGTAGTTCAAACAATTAAAAATCCATTTTACAACTTTTCCAGGTACCTGTAGTAATAATAATATTGAGGATAATTTGTCCAGATCTACATTATTGAAAGCCCTTACAATGTCAAGAAAAACACCAACTAGGACTTTATTCTCGGAACGAGCATCGTGGATATCCAGATAGAAATTATGTAGACTCTCACAAGCAGAATGGCCATAATGAAAGCCAAATTGTAAGGTAAAAGATTATTACTTTCTATGTGAAAAATTAATCTCTGTTTTATTAATTGTTTGAAAATTTTTCCAACACATGAACTCAGTGTAATATTACGATAAGAATCAGCCAAATTAAAGTCTTTGCTACGTTTTAATATTGGTACCAAACAGTCAGTTTTCCAATTCTCTGGGATAATAGAAGACAACCATAAACTATTTAATAGACTTAAAAAAATAGATAGAGTTTGAACATTTAAAAGTTTAAACATTCTGTAGGAAAGCCAATCCAGGCCACATGAAGAATCTTTTCTTGCTTGCTAAAGCAGATTTTAACTCTTGCATAGTAAAACAACCGATCATGTATGAATTATCACTATTTACTCCAAGAACATTACCTATACTTATCTGTTGTGAAACAATATCCGGTGTGTATTTATATTAAAATGTTTGAACCCAATTGAGGTCAGAAAATAAGTAAGAACTCGGAAAGCTTTTTTTGAATTTTCTTATTTTAGTCCAAATGCGATTTATAGATGTCAAACGATTTATTAATGAGCAGAATTCAGACTAACTTTTACAACGTTCTTCTTTTAAAGTGCGTTTTTTAAAGGCTTGTGCGCGTTTGAAATTAATGTAATTTTTACTATTAAGACTAGTTTTGAAATTAATGTAGGCGTTCTTGCAGTCTTCTACTACTTTTGAACATTTATCATTCCACCAAGGTACTTGACACCTTTTTCTAGGACGGTTATTATTACTATCAGTTGTGTTATGGTTTAAGCTGGGCCCGGAGAATTTTATTGCCAATAGAATAATTGCACAAAACTTTCTGTATGAGTCAAGGAGATCACTATTGTCAACTTTAAAGTTCATTAACATTTTATTAACAATTTGTTCATAACTATCCCAATTTACTAATTTCAGATTGCTGTGAAGAGGAATGTTGTTCAAGGAAATAGAGGGCTCATGTTGATCTCTTACGAGAGTAAATTTTGTGATAGTTGGCAGATGATAACTGCCTAAAGGGTCCTGATGAACTTGCCAGTCACAAGAAAGAAATAAAGAAGAAGACACCATAGTTAAATCTAGACTGTTTGGTTTCCAAATATGAGAGCCTATAGTTGTTGGTTGATCATTATTTAAAAGTGTTAAGTCATTGTCATCCATGGAATTGCTACATTTTGTAACGAATCATCATAAAGAGTATATAGTTTAGAGAAATGTATACCATTTTTAAATAATATTGCAACACCATTATGATCATTACTGCAGTCATGCCTAATAATGGTATAACCACGTAAATTAAATTGAATGTTAGGCTTGAGCCAAGTTTCTGAAATAAGAGCTACATGTTTATTATTTTTGTATAAAAAATGTTTAAACTCAAGTCTGTTACTTAACAGACTTTGAGTGTTCTACTGTACAATATTTATGATTTGGTAGTTGAATGTGACGGTTTGCTATTTTTATCCTGTATGGTTTTTTTAATAGCTGAGCTAATAAATTGTGAACTAATACTTATATTTTGAGTTTTATTTAGAGTTATAACTTTTACTATAGATTCTGTTAATAGGGTCATTGCTTCAGAATTTGATAGTATCACTTGTATTACTTCTTGGGTATTTAATTTTTTATTAAGAGAGGGAAAATTTAATGAATCTTTTAACGTGTCAGCATATGACTTGGGGTTACTGTTTGCCATTTTCTTTTGCCTTATAGGGCATGGCTAGAGATGACAATGTGATTGCCATTACATTTAACGCACTTAGCTTTTTCAATGTTAACCTTGCATTCTTTGAAAGAATGCCCCTCTGTGCATATGGAGCGTCGCGGTGAATTTTTACAAAATTTAGCCAGATGATGATAGCGTAAACATTTAAAACACTGTTTTATAGGTGGGACATGTGGAGACAGGCAGGCGCCACATCTTAATGTGAACATA